CGACATATGTAACACCGGTTTCTTACGGCAAACTCAAAGTTAAGGATTACTTGAGTTTAGAGGACGTGTTGACACAAATGAAGCCAATCGTCACCGAAAAGCCACAACACATGGAGTTATTAAACATTGGCTCAAATTATGGTCAAAACTATGGTTTCATTCTCTATAGACTCACAAACTTACAGAAGTTTAAGCATCTAAAACTAACCGGTATTATAAATATAATAAAGCAGCTTATATCATTTGATATAAAATCTTGCTATTAATTAGGTGGTGCTTCTGATCGGGGAGTCATACTCGTGGACCACAAAGAAGTTGGTGTCGTTGAGGGTAAGAAAGACTATAATCAGGACTTAAAAGACACACAATTTGCAAACACAACGACTCATACGTTGGATATTATGGTTGAAAACTGGGGACGTCAGAAGATCGGTAATATGAATATCGATCGCAAGGGTCTTAACGGTGACGTTGATATCGATGCAAAAGTTGCCACAAATTTCCAGACATTTCCGCTTGAATTCAAAGAACCATTTGTTAAACAATTGTCTATGAAAAGTTTAATAAAGAGAGGTCTCAACCAAAGCTATTAATACCTAAACCCCCGACATATGTGGCTCCTGTATCTTATGGTAAGATAAAGGTTAGGGATTACTTGAGTTTAGAGGACGTGTTGACACAAATGAAGCCAATCGTCACCGAAAAGCCACAACACATGGAGTTATTAAACATTGGCTCAAATTATGGTCAAAACTATGGTTTCATACTTTATAGACTCGCAAACTTACAAAAATTTAAACATTTAAAATTAACAGGTATTATAAGTACTATAAAAGAGCTTATATCATTTGATAAAATACCTTGATAATAATTAGATGGTGCCTCTGATCGGGGAGTCATACTCGTAGACCACAAAGAAGTTGGTGTCGTTGAGGGTAAGAAAGACTATAATCAGGACTTAAAAGACACACAATTTGCAAACGCAACGACTCATACGTTGGATATTATGGTTGAAAACTGTGGACGTCTGAAGATCGGTAATATGAATATCGATCGCAAGGGTCTTAACGGTGACGTTGATATCGATGCAAAAGTTGCCACAAATTTCCAGACATTTCCGCTTGAATTCAAAGAACCATTTGTTAAACAATTGTCTGAATTGAAGGGAAAACCTTTCGTTGAGGGCTTAAAAAGTCCAGCCGTTTATCGGTTTGAATTGGATATTAAGGACAGTCCTAAGGACACATTCATACGACTGGACGGTTGGTCGAAGGGAAATGTATTTATCAATGATTTCAATATAGGCCGGTATTACCACATCGGACCCCAACAGACACTATATATCCCTGCACCGTTACTAAAAACGGGCAAAAATGAAATATTAGTATTTGAATTGCATTCATCGACTGGCCTGGTTGAATTTGTTGATACCCCACATTTGGGATAATCCTTGTAATAAATTAACAACTAAATTAAACATTAAATAAAATTTTTATAATTATTATAAATAAAACTAATTTAACATATGAATAACGATTTATTAAAAAGGGTACAATGAGAATTCATTGAGTGTTTAGTAATTAAAAGCAAAAGCTTTTCAATCACAGTTTAGTCATTCAAAGTAATTTATTTGTAATATGTGAGCAAGATAAAATATTAAACTCTGTATACTTTAGATGTGATATTAAAGCTTTAAATGGTTTTTTATTGTATCCTTTTTAATAAATCGTCTTTCATATTCATTATATCACTATCATTAATACTAAAGTAATTTTTCATGAAGCTTTCTCTGGGAAAGTGTTTAAATCTGCTTTGAAAGTAAAGTATAAGTGTTTATATGTCGTATATCCTGCACTATATATAACACCAGTTGTTAATATTGAGCAAAGTCATTTACTTTATATCCTAAAAGAAATTCTGCAAAATATATCAAGATATAACAAAGGTATGTGCGATTTGTCATTAAAAATTAAAACATGATAACTGAATACAAAATACACATAAGGTATAGTTATTGAAAATGTATTGAAAATACGCACATACCTTTGGTATATCTTGCACTGATATTATATTTATTTTTAGTAATATTTATAGCACCTTTCACGTCTCAATATAATCATTTAAAATTATCAATAAATAATAAAAAATTACCCCTCCGTGTTTTTTCATAATAATTTATAATTAGGATATTAAACCGGCTAAAAGATAAAAGGTGCATGATATGATTTTCTATTTCTTAGCAAAGCGACAAATTATTAACTTATTTTAATAATAATTTATCTATAAGTATGTACAGATATATTGCGTACCAAAAAATTGGTATCAGATTGTGGTCCATATTAGGTACAAGGTTAACATTATGTGAATTTAAACATTTGTCATTTTACTATAAAAACCGCAATCAAATTGATAGGAAGACCCAATTCTTTTACATTAGGCATACGAGAGACATAAAAATGAAATTATATTTAATTTCGTGTTTAGCTTTTGTCGTGTATTTTAACGGCCAAAGTAATGGTGCTGAACAAACAAACTACGAGTACTACACGTCCGGTGGTATCAAATCGGGTCTGAGGGCCGACTCC